GGCGAGGGGGGAATCCCCTCCCCGCTGTCATTCCTATTTCTCATCCCCCACTTCCCGCTCTCTCATCCTTTCCTTCTCACCACCGCAACCCTTTCTCTCCCTTCTTTCCTACCACCACCCTAGGAGTCCTTTCCCTTTTCCCTACTCTTACCAGCCTTACCCACTCTTGCGGCCCTCCAAGTTCCCCTTAAACAACTGGATCTGGTCTTGCTAAAGTGAATGAATATAACAAACTGGGATACTACTTAAAATTGAAATGAGTTGATAAATTATTTGAACAACTTTGAGGAATTAAGAAAATAGGTAGGGTTTTAGTCTATATAATCTCATATACTTGTCTAAAGTACAAAGAATTAATATGTTTCTTCAATGCAGCAGGCATAAGGAATTAGTATATTTATTGAAGTGAGAATTAATGAGTTAAGTGCACGTATCAAGTCAATCTAGAGGATCTAGTGGAGCATAATTGGAAATTTATACATACTAGTATTCAACATTAACATGTTAAAAAGTGGAATCCACATTGATTTAATAGTTCACTGATTAATCGTTAATTTTTCGATTGTTGCGAGACTGAAGTTTGTTTCGCAAAGTAAGAAATTGTTGATTTCTAGAACTTTATATAATTTGTGGTAAATTGGAAGGAAATTTTAGCACAACTTAAGAAATATCGCTATGATTTTAGACGAAACATTTAAATATGAGTAAAATAGAATGAGAATGATAGAGTAGCAACTTGAATGTCATGACCAGATTGTGGGAACAATTGTTTTTAGCAGTTGATGAAGAAGACGGTTAATATACTCTATTTTCTTTAAAAAAAAAAAATCAATTGTGATGGTTTGCAATACTAAATGGGGATGCCAACATTTTTTTCATTTTTTCCATTTTGTGCTAGTGTTGGTGATTTGCTTCTTCAAGTTATCAAGTATCCAATTATATTGTTGGCAAAATAAACCAAGTTTAGAAGTATTTATTTATTCATTTACTAATTTTATTGGAGTCAGATCTTTAGTAGTTCAGTTATTTAGAAGTACGTGTTGATGTAAATGATTCTCATCCAACAAGACTGATAGGTTATAAATAAAGGATTAGTAGTGATATTTTCTTAAAAGAGTCCAATAAGTGTACGTATAAGGTTATGTTGTGTGACTTTCTTCCATTATTTTGAAATATTAATAATATTATGAGTTATTTATTTCTTCCCTTCCATATAAATATTTTGAATGATTTTTTTTATTCCTTCAATTCTATAAACCTGCACGTATCAATTATTATTAGACTAAATTTGGGTTCTATAAGTGGTATCAAAGCTAGTCTACAAGGAGGTTAGCCCTGCATTTCCACTATCATAGAGTTAGGCCATAAAGTTGTCAGGGAGTATATAGTTGATCAAGTTAAACCATGAAGTTCGTCCTAAAATTTGCAATAGGTGAAGAATTTGACTATACGATTGGTATGAAAATTATCAGATTGTTACGGGTATTATGACAAAGATTAGAGAAGAATCTTATCAAATTTGTTGATTGTAGCGGATTGTCCAATTGAAAGATTTGATTAATTAATCGGAGAGACTAGGAAAACTTGATAGAAGGGAGAGGCAAATTTATTCAGGCATATGAGTTGTTAAATAATGATAGAATTTTATAGAAATTTGATTGATGGTGAAAATTTTGCTATATTAACTTCTATAAGTGCAAATAGTTATGTATATTTTAATTAAGTTTTAAAAGTGGAAAAATATCTAGAACAATAATTTGAATGATTTTCTTTGTTGAATTTTTGCAAGTGAGTTCCCAAACACATGTTTTCAAGATGAATGCACGATTATTCTTTTTAGTGATGCGTAAAATAATGGCAGAAAGTATTTACAAAACTTTTTTTCATTGTACTAAAATCCCTTGGAGATTTTGGATTTATTAAGTTTTATAGACTATTGAGAAGAAATATACATTCAAATTGAAATTTGATTGTTAGTATTAGGTTGTAGATTTTGAGAATAATAGATTTGTTGATGATATGAGTAATTTTAAAATTTTGAATTTGTTGAGATTTTTTATTTGCATACTTTGTTTAGAGAAATTGGGAGCACTGAATTTGTTGAAGAAAGAGAGTTTATTGATTTAGTAAAAGAAGAAGAAAATTTTGATTTGGTAAGTAAAGAAAAAGAAATTATTCTTGGAAAATTTGTTGGCTCGGACTTTCTTCAAGGTGAAGGGAAGAAGTTTTATTTAATAGATATGGATTTTGTTGAAGTTGAAAATATTTTGCTATTAAAGAATTGATTGATAGTATGAATTTTTTTACTGATTATGATAGTAAGGTTTCTGAATTATTTGGTATTAGTGATCATTTTAGCAAGAAAGAAATTTATGATTTTGTATTCTTAGGCACTTATATTTGGTGATAAATATGGTGACTCTGGTGATAAATGGGTTTGCATGAATGACTGTTTTGATTGAGAAGAAATTGCTGAGAAATTATTTGTAAAATATAAAGTCGTACATTACCATGAGTAAACATGAAAATTAATTTTAAGGTATTGCACACCGTCTCTACGGCTACAGAATTTTCAATAATGTTGGTTGTTCAAGATGGGGTTGGACCTGTCTTAATGAAGAATTTATTTTAAAACATGCACTGTTGGCAAAATAAATTAAACTTAGAAGTATTTATTTATTTATTTACTAGTTTTATCAGAGTTAGGTTTTTAGTAGTTGTGTTATTTAGGTTGATGTAAGTAGTTTCTTATCTAACAAATCTAGATGGTTATAAATAAAGGATTAGTTGTGTTTTTTTTAAGAGTGTCTAAGAGCATCTATAAGGTTATATTATGATATGGCTTTCTTCCATTGTTTTGAAATATCAATAATATTGTGAGTTATTTATTTCTTCTCTCCCTCATACATAATTTGAGTGATTATTTTATTCCTTCAATTATGTAACCCTACACGCTTCAATTATTATTGGAATCCTAAATTTGGATTCAACATATATATTTAGGTAGGAACTTAATAATTTCAGTTACATTTCAATTTTATTACCTTGCATACATTATTTTTTTTTATCTCGCATATATTGCATTAAAAAAAATCTAACGTTAAGTAATATTGGAATAAAATTTTCAAAATATCTTCAATCCAAAAAAAGCAGCAGAAACAAAGCATAGTGTAAGAACATAACAAAGTTAGTGCAAATTAAATATAGTGTAAGAACATAACATAGAATCGTTTTGTTTTTTCCTTGGCCAACATACAATCTTACATGAATGTAGATGAATCTATGTGATGCACATTACTCCTACTATACAAAACTGAAGAGAAGAATTCATGAATTGTGTGAGAGTCCGAAAATTTTCATGTCTTATTTAAAACTTAGCTCATGTTACATTTTCCTTTCTGTTATTGGTTGACTTATATTGTCCCTTAAAACATTCATCACATTATATTACTAATCATGAGTTGTCGGGAGAATCTAATATTCTTACTTTGTCAAACATTTTGACTGATTAGTGATTGATTTCATAACTGAAACATACACACAATCGCTAGATTTTCTTATATTCTAGATCATCATCGATTATGACAGGGGCAAATTAAACGTTTGACGAACCCTACATTTGCAAGGCCCTTGAAGCCATCGATCTTATCCGACATTGTGGTGTTGAGGAATACTCTTACTTTTTGCCTACATGAACTCAATTACGAACATCGGATCGTAATTGCTCATGACATGTGAGAAAATTTCAGAGTTTTCATTCTGAATTTAATACCTTTCACTTAAAAAACAAAAAACTCACAACTTATCGCATTTTATACGATCACTTCCTTCTGATTCATGAATTTTAGTGCGAGCCTCAAGAGTTGATAATTTTAGAGCCTCAAGGGCTGATAGTTTTTCCCCCTCTTTATCAAACGAAAATGTGACAGTTTCTTGGATGCTGGCATAATAAATGTATTTGTTACTTGCTATCACTTATTTCCTTCTGATAATTCCTTCTTTGTTTTTTTTTTTTGATAGACAATTTAGTTTAAAGGAATTAAGGAAGTCACTACTGAACTGAACCTATAGAGAATCAAAGATACCTCATCCACGCAAATGGGCCAAATTCTCAAGTTAACTGTGATTATCTCTCATTATCAATTAGCAATGGAGGTGATCACTGTAAATGGATAAATGATTGTATCTCTTTTCCTATACAGAAATGGTTGTTAATCTTCCGCAGTTTTTTCTGTCACACTAACAGAAGTCGTACTTATTTGCCAAAGCAAATAACAGGAGTTTCACTTATCATCCTTCCTCCATGTCTTAATTGTACATCGATGTGCCTTGGATTATGAAAAAGACTAAATAATGACTAGATGGATCAAAATTCATACCATAGTCTCCTTTCTTTTCTTGAATTTGTTTCCCCTCAAATTCCAAAATGCTTCAATCTGGTAACAGCATCAAAGTTATTTACATGACACGTTAAGGAACAAGGCCGGTTATGGCACAAAACGTGGCTACATCCTAGTCGCTTGTTTTCGAATGATACTTGGAACGGAAAGAAAACTAGACGAGGTAGATTGCTGATCTATATAAGCCTAGAGTACACTAATGCAGCTTCTATTAACAACTCATTTTGAAGTACAAGGACACCAGAAACATGCTTTAAAATTGATGTTGTCCTCCCCCCACTTTGATTCTTAGGTGAACAATCAAGGCCACTCAAATATGGAGATAAAAATCAGATTGTGCTTTTTGCAGGTGGAATATATTCTTGGTGAATAAGGCAGTAATAGAACAGTATTAGACTCGTTCTTGCTAAGGTTGGTAATTGAAAGATAGTGAATTGAGAGTCATGATTTCACCAGAGGGGGACTAACTTTTTTAATGAATTTTACTTAAGAATAGCCACTGCATGCAGGGGCAATTTGTTTAGCCCATCTTAACATCTTTAAACTTAAAACAGTCTTGACTACTACCTCATGGAATGCAAAACAACTCGTCAAGATACAATGGAAATATGTGGTGGAGGAATAGCTGGAAATGGTGCGATTGTTAGGCCATCTTCGCTACCCTCCAAGCAAGCTTCAGAGAAGATGGAATTCATGAAGGGAGGGTGTCGTTTTACTCCGCCCCCCTTCTTGACAAAGACCTTTCAAATGGTGGAGGATACAAAGACGAACAATATGATTTCCTGGAATTCTGACGATACCAGCCTAATAGTCTGGGACCATCTCAAATTAGCTGCAGAGGTTCTACCAAAATATTTCAGCCACAACAATTTCTCAAGCTTCGTCTACCAACTCAACAACTATGTGAGTTTATGCATTTCAGATTATTGCATACCTTTTAGAGTAAATCCTTTTTCATAGCATGCATATTGTATTCTTTAGATAATTTTTTTTATCATCATTAGAAAGTCTCTGCAAAAATTTTTTATGTCTATCATAACTCATAAACCTAGGTAAATGCCTTTTTCTTGTACTTATACTTGCTACTTTTGCTCATGCTTTGTGTTAGCAGTTTGAATGTCAAATAAATTCTTCGTTGTGACTCGAATTCAATAGCAATTGGGATCCTCCCCCCCTAATTTCTGATTGTTTGCTTTCTAAACTTAATAGGGATTCAGGAAGATTGGACCGAGGCAATATGAATACGAGAATAAATGGTTTCAGAGAGGGCAAGAACATTTGCTAATGAACATTAGAAGGCGATATGATGCAGATCCAACAATCAGGAAAAGACGAGGACCGAGGAAACAACACGTAATGGCTGCGAGGCCTTCAATGGAGGCAGAGCTGGAAATTTTCGAGGATCACATGAATGCACTGAAGGAAGAAATCACGGCTGCGAGGCCTTCAATGGAGGTAGAGCTGGAAATTTTCGAGGATCACATGAATGCATTGAAGGAAGAAATCACAAGCTCAAACTATCGAATGGGGAAACTTGAGAGTAGCATAGCCACCTTCAATAAAAATGTGAAAAGAATGGAGGCTAAGTCAAAAGCATTGATCAAGGTCTTAGCCGGAAAATTCGGCCCCGCCGTAGTTGAGAAGATAATTCAGCGTGTGGAGGAAGAACTAGAACTTGAAACCTTTCAGACCATGAAGAGAAGAAGAGTGATTCTACCACAAAGCTCGAAAACCACAACAAAGTCCATGAATGATGGAGCTTGTGGCATGGACCAAGATGATCAGGAGGCAAACACTTCATTGGCAGAATCAAAACAACGTGCTGATCAGAAACTATGGAAGAAGTTCGTGGGAGATGATTCAGTTAGCGAGGATGAGTCGGAGCAACAACTGTTGAGGCAACACTCAAGGATTGATATGGCTATTTAGAAGAGTTATGGACATTTTCTTTAAATATTAGTCACTTCTAATATTTACTTAATCTACTATATATATATATATATACATACTAACAATTATTATCTTTCCTTGCATTTAAATACTTTCTCTATTTAATATTGCCTACTTGCTCTTGTATTTATTTACCTTTTTAATTAATCTTATATTTTCAAAAATATAATACTTGAAATATATTTTAATGAATGCCCCATGGAGACCCGTTAGACAGACCAATTGTAATTTAAGAAAAAAAAATTAGTATATTCCAGCATGGGAGAGGCTCTTGTGCAACAGAAGAGCAAACAGTGGCATCTATGCTACCATACTTCATCAGTATTAAGGAAAGTTTTGGTAACCTCTTACTATAAGTTTATTGCTTAAAAAAATTGTAATTTAAGAAGTTATGCACTTAATATGGGTTCATTTGCCGCTATGCGATAATGTGATGTCATCGTCTCATTGAATACAAACGTGAAACCATTTTTCTTGAAAATGAAAAGGTAAAGGGATCAGGGACGGATTTACAGAGAGTAACAATTTAATGAATAGGCATGATATTTGTTTAGTTGAATCTAGGATGTTAATGTACTTTAAAAAATAATTTAACTGAAATAATAGCTATATTGAATTTTAATATTTTGATTAAATAGAGGAATTTTTTTAGAAAATTAACTAAAAAAATAATTGAAGTGAATATTAATTAGAACACGTGCCATAGAATTTTGCTTAACTATTATATTGCAATTCCTTTCCTTTTTTTTTTCCTTGTTAATTGTAATTATGTGTATGATAAAGTCCCGATTTTAGTATTTTTGTCATTTTAGTATTTTTGTGGTATTTTTTATTAGAACACGTGCACATAAATTCTGGACAAAAAAGATGATCAAAGTTGAATTTGAAATAAAATAATTCCATGTCAAAAGCGAAAAGAAGTGAAGAAAAATCTCTTGCATTTGAAAACCATAATTACTAGAATAAGAATTTAGCCGCAATAATATCAAGAATAACATAATGTAGGGAGTAGGGTTGGGTTGGGTAGTAAGGTCGGAAAAACCCAAGACATGCTAACAAAAAAGAAGAACATAATATACGAGTCAAGACTTGTTAACCATTGAATTTTTTGAAAGAATAGCCATTGCATTTTAAGAAAAGACCAACTGTCTATCTTGTTCATTTATTAAAAATAAAAAGAATGAGAGTAGAAGCAAAATGATTAATGTAATAGGGAGCGATCCTCGTGAAAAATAGAAATATAAGATTTGGGATTAGTTTTCCATTCTGCGCGCGTATATATATTGCAATATATAAACTATAAAGGGAATAAAGTTGTAAATTGCATCATCAAGTTTGGGAGTATTATATGAAGGGAAGATTATTTTGGCAGAAAAAATCAGAATGATTTCCTGCACCCAGGACATTTTTACGTTGGACAAAAAACTTCAGCATCCACTAAACTATTGGTCGAATCATGTTTTGGCCATCAAATTATTTTTCGTCATTGACTGCTAAATAGCTTAATCAGTAAACCTATAACCATTTGATTGATAATTGCTCGTAATATGCGAAATTAGCAATATACCCGGCAAAGCGCAGGGCAATTTTGCCATTTCATACATATGAAATTAAATATTTTTGGTTGACTCTCTCCCCATCGTCTCCTCTCTTCCTGTCTCTCCAACGGCACCAATCAGCGTGCCAGCACCAGATGGTTATGGACAGTTGTTACGAGGTGTTTACTTTCCCCGAATTTGGCCACGGCCGCGCGCGTTTAAGGGGCTAACAACAGTCCACTAGACTCTCAATCAGCAGAATTCCTCACAAAGTGCCTCAACTTTCCTGCTCCTACACCTCTTCCACTATCCAGTGGCGGCGTCGACAAAGATGGATTCACAACCACAGTTGTCTGATTACTGTTTTCTCACATACTCCCTCCTAATTTTAAACCCCAAATTCCTCATTAGAAAATTCTCCAAGGACATTAAAATCATTCAATAGATCCTTATAGTCATAGTCTTGTTTCCTATGAAAACCATCGTCGGCGACTACCAAATCACTTGTTCCTTTGTGATAGTGGTCATTTCCATCTCCTTTGAACTAGCGGCCGCCACTTCACTCCCCATCTCCTCCGTGTCTTCTTCGTCTCTCACACAAGACCTAGGTTTCAAAAATTTTTGTTAAAGCTACATCGAGAAACCCAAATGCATACTCCAAAATTACAAGAAAAATTCAACCAGAAATTAAACTAGGTATTAAAGAAAAATATTTGGGCTTTGGTACTTTGACGGATGTTGTGTGGGGATGAAAGCAAAAAGAAACCATAACCTAGGCGAGTTGTTTTGTTGCCACTCAATTCGGATGTGTACTAGTACTAGTATTTGGGAAAGAACAAATAGAAAGAGAAAAAACAAAAATAAAAACAAAAAACGAAAGGGAGGAAAATTGAGAGATCCGATTCTGGTAAAGCCACCGACCACTGTTAAGCTGAAGAGGAAGAGAACTGAAGCTGAGCAATGAACGTTAGCAGCACATATAGCAGGATCGAACAATTGAAAATCCTAGGCACTTGGCAGCCAACCTGTGCCTCATCCTGGGAAAGATGGCCATTGCAAGAGCAATCTGCTGCAACTTAATAAGTATATTACAACTATTTCTTGAAAACAATTCTTTTTTTCAGTGATAATTAAATATTTCGAACTTAAATTTTTAGATTTTTTTCCCATGCCCTTTTTTTTCTTGTCTAATACCAATAGTATATGCATCACTGAAAAGTTGGCTTACATGCATTTTTGTGCCATAATAATTTCATGTGGTGATAAATATTGATATTATTAATTAATGCATGCAAGGTGGCAATAACTAGATGGTGATGGTGGAGGGGTTGGATTGGGTGGTACGGGAGCTGAGAGTGTGAGTGAGAGGTCTCGGATTCGAGTCCTCCTGCTTACATTTAAAAAAAAAAAAAAGAAGGTGATGGGTCAAGGATCAACCCCAATCATCCCGCCTAAAAGATGCACAGATGGTGTAGGTGTATGCAACGCAACATGCGATGCTCTGTGTTGTCTCTCATTGTGCAATACGTTTTAAAGTGAGTGGGTAAATATTGTAATTTGTAACAATATAACAAAATGACATATGCTTTGAATGATGTAGGTGAGTGAGATCCTTGTCTATTGGAACCGAATCCATTAATGATACTATTAGTCTGCCTGTTTATTCAAATGTGTTGAAAGATGATGATTGGGGATTATTCTCATTACCTGTTTCTCGATTGACACTGATGAAGAATTCACACTTCTTTTTTTTTTTCTTTTTTTTTTTCTTGTATGTCCAAATATGTCGATTGACAGTGATGATGATTGGGGAAAATTAAAATGTAAAGATGATTAGTTATTTGGGTAGTTATCAACTTAATTTAAAATTCTAAAACTAAAAGTTTTTTTTAATAAAGTTGGACCATTTTATTATAAGAGTACTAAAAACAGAGAGATCACAAAATGGCCCGCCCAACCCCATAATCCCTCATGCTATGTACGTATACTTGTCTTGATCGACATACTTAACCCTTAATAACAGCATTGTACATCATACTATAATGATAATTAACTATTAAGAAGGCTGATTTAAATGATAACATCAACATAGGAGAACCTTCATCAGGTTTACATGATTTTGCCGTCCACTAGATAATTATTCTGGGCACACAGAGCTACAACTAGAGCTTGCAACTTCTAAATTTTGGAGCTGGTGACAGGAACTGTTGGCTGATGACTGATGTACTAGAATAACTCTTGTAGCGAAGATCAAAACGGGCTCTCAAAATTTGCGTTTTGATAGCAACGCTAACATGCTTGCATTATCTAGTGACTAAAGTTGAAACTTTAGAAATAAGAAGTCCGGGTTCTAATGCATCTTTCCTCTCTTCGCTTCTTAAATTTCATCCTTTTTTTTTTTTTTTTTTTTTTTATGGGGTAGGGCCCGGGGGGCATGTTTGCATTAGATCAGCAGTACACATACGAGTCATTTACTCATGTTACTGTTTCAAGGGGGAGCTCTCAGCTCCTATTGGGAAATTTTTTCTCCTGTTGAACCAGTACATTACAGTATTCTAACAAATTTCTATTAGAATACCAATTACCTAAGAGGGTAATCATGAACTGAATGTCATATTGTTTGAGAAGTAAACTTGAGATATAGACACAGAATATTAGTCTTGGAAACTGACAGATCTAACCAAAGAAACTGACGCATTTATACATCAGGTTGGCTCGAGTCAGACAAGTTGAACTTCAAGAAGTAAGCCAACTGATGATGGATGTCAGAGCATAAAAGCCATAATTCACATCAACCGAACAAGCAAAACATTATATGTGGAAACATCTACAACCTTAAAAGGTGGAAAATGCTGATAACTCGATTGTTTTGAAGTAGATAGCTTTCTTTAGCTACTAGAAAATTATAAAAAGAAAAACTTTAGACACACACCATTGCACCGGAAAAAAAAAAATACACATCGCCACTCATGATGAGAGTTGCGCCTTGGGCAGACTTTGTCCCATTTAGGCTTAGCTTTATCTCATGTGGATGCAGAAGACCATGCACCTTCATGTTATGCTAAACAGGCATAGAAATAGCCGCAAAGGCTAGCTAACAGGGATATCTAACTTGACACACCCGGCAATGTAAACATATCCAAGTACCAGAATTATCTGTATAATTCTATTAGGCACCAGCAAATTTGTCCACGCCCTTGACCTGGATGATAGCAGGTGCTTGAACATTGAAAAGTTTCTCACAGATTAATCATGACTACAGTCAACATCTGGCTTCCAGATCTACACACGAAATACCAAAAATAGCCATATGAATCCATCATTCTTAGCTCAGAAACACTTTGAATCCACAAAAGATTACTTAGTAGTGCTAAATATAAATTTCTTAATTCTCCTTTCTAAAGAGCGCGGCGGCAACATGATAAGAGTTGGCAACGCCATGCATGGTGAGATTTTTATAGTATGTTTCATGACAGATACAATCAGAAGAGTGGCAAAAGTTTCAAAAACTTATTCTCTGTAAAATATGTCAAGCTAGAAGCGGTAAAGAATTAAGCATCAGTAAACAAATTTATGGAATGGGTGTATCCAACGTGTCAACAAACTAATAAATTTAGTAATTCCAACAAAACGGATACAAAAAGCATACTTGTACAACTTCCACCTATCAAAGATAATAAAATGCCACTTGTGAGTATTGATAAGATCAAGAAATGGTGGACCTGAGTCATATCTTTGAGAAATTTTCCTCATGCTAAGCAAGGCCATCAAAGCATTCCAGCAAGAGCTAAGTGGAACTTGGAATGGCAAAGGACAAGTATGAATGGATCTAAATTAGTACCAAAAGAGCAACAAGAGTGGACATTGACAAGGAGAACAGAATTAAATTTGCCCATTGTCGGAAGCAATCTTGATTCTGCATTTAGCGGTTAGAGACAATGTAGTCCAGAGAAAGTTTTGGCGACAGGAGGACTATAAACTTTGACAAGAAGAGACAAAAGGAGAAAGAACTTGAAGCAATCACTAGTGAAATTGAACTTTGACACAAATGTAATGTAGCTCCATTCAGGTTGCACAGACAGTAGGCTAGAAACTGGCATTGTTTTCAATAATTGGACTGCATAAGAACTTCTAATCCAGCATGGGAAGACCATCAATCAAGTATTTGCTTTAGAAAAACCTAACAGAGTAGAAAATTACAAAATCGATGCAGTGAATTGTTAAAATAAAAACAAAAGAAACTTAAGAGTAACTGCAATAGAGCTGGAACTTCACATGGTTCACAATTCATCCAGCAACTAACCTACATCATTCAATTCAATTGCAAAATAGGAAAACATCCAATTTATCAGCTAATATAATTCTCAACAAGCATTTCCACGAAACAAGGACAGAGTAGCTTCAATGATCATTTGATTGTTCACATGTGTGTGTGTGAGAGAGAGAGAGAAAGAGAGAGAGCAAACTAAACAGTAATTGAGAGGTGAAGACCATAACAAAAATCCTTGCTAAGCCTTGCTTTGGATGTTTCAGAAAATGGAAAATCATTGTTTTGTTCCATCCTTCTATTTTTTTAGTGAAAGATTGTACAGCAATTACAACCAGCAGTGTTGTGATACTGCAAGAATTTCTTTCAATTTCCAGTCCCTTGGGGCTCGAAAATATTTTATTCTATACCAAAACACTATGATGCAATCTGTTAGAAGGACAGAAAGAAGTACAAAAATTATCCAGAATTCTTATCAATGCCCCTTTACGAACATTACACAACAGTTCTATACCTACACCCATTTTAATTCTTAGTGCAGGGTAGATGATACTCATCAAATTCAAGCTTGACAAGTTTTATTTAATGATGAAAATTATTACTTGTAAATACTACATTTGACTGGCTGGTACTGGTGTCAAGCTGCATGCCATATTACAGAGAATTCTTTATTTTTGCCAAATAAATTAGCAATGAATTCACAGATTAACCTTTGCAATCCAGTGAAAAAAGCCTCTCCACATTGCAGCTCAAATGGAGTAACTGAAAATTGCAAATTGGAAAAATTTACATAAACACACTGAAATGGACTTCATAACTTTTATACCTGAATGTTACAAATTTCATCAAAAAACAGCAGGCAGCGACTTGGGATCAAGTTCAAAAGATCCCTCTGGTACACCTTCCCTTTTATAGCTGCTCATCCTAAAAGAAGGTACTGCATGGGAGAACCTAAAGAATTCTTCATCGTGTATCACAAAAATATCCTCCTTATCATGGCTTCTTCTGTGATATAAGCTTGCATATCCTTCCAATTTATCCAGGTAAGCAACTTTAGTGTCAAAAGAATTTCTCTGGACAATCTCAACTATCTCATACTGGCAGCGTAAATGATTATCAGGTTTCGAAGCCCAGCAATTAGTATTCCAGTCCTTATAGAGGGCCCAAGTCTCTCCCTCTTGAGGATGAATTAAGTAATGAGTAATAAGATGCCAAGAAGTAAGAGTCTCTTTGTAGCAAACTTGATACGAAAAGTTACAACTAGACAATGACAAGGCCTCTTCTTTACCACATATAAATCCACCACAACCAACTGGTAAGCCAGTATCTATCCACTCGTTCCAACCCTGCGATGTATCAGGTAACTTCACACTTTTGGACCTCTTATACGGCATTGTAAGTTGATAATGTGCCACAGGCTGGAGCCATGCAACAAGAACAATAGGATCACGTACCTTCAGGATCCTTGCATATAATTTTTGTATCTTATCATTACTACTATGATAGGAACGAGCCCAAATTTGACCAACACGAAAGCTGCTTAAGGTGTACGCTCTTCTGAAGTTATTAAACAATTTGTTCGAATGATAAGTAGGACTTGAGTTTGAATTGGCCAAGCCTAAACCTGCCTGACCAAGATCACATGCTGAACCTGAATAAGCTGAATCGGATTCCGACACTGAATGGGACTCCTTTAGATCACATCCCAAACCTGAATGACCTGAATCACCAGAGTCTGATCCAACCAGATCAATGAGAGCACGTTGTTCAGATTCATTCTCAGATGCGCCCTTGTCTTCACTTTTCCTTCTTTTCTTTGTCCTTTCTGGGGATGGTGTTGGATTTATTGAACCCGGTTTATTAGAACAACATTCCTTGCTTTTCAGAGCAGAGTCAAGCTCTCTCTGTTTCATGACAAGCTCCTTCTGTAACTCCAAAACCTTTTCCCTAGCCTCAAGCTCACTTTCTCTAGCTTCAAGCATCCCCTGTTTTGAACCCAAAACCTTTTCCCTCAACTCAATCTCCTTCTCTAAACTCTCCAACTTTTCCTTTTTCTTATCAAGCTCATTTTCTCTACTCCCAATCTGTTTCTTAACCAACTCGAGCTCCCTCCAACGATCCGCTACCTGCCTTTCTTTCAAACATATTTCTCTAAAACCCTCATCGACAGAACATCTAAGATCCCCAATATGTTTCCCCTCCAACTCTATCCTCTCAAAAAGCCCTCCTATCAACTTCTCTTGCTCACTCAATTTCTCTTCCCTAACTCTAATATCATCTCTAATCAAACTCAATTCATTCTTTTTTACATCCAATTCTTTCCACCCTTGTTCCAAAATCAAACGAAACTCTCTCTCCTTCTCCTCAAATTCCTTCGCCCGAGCTTCAATGGCCTCTAGCATCAGAGCAAGTTCTCTAGAACTTTCAGAAAGAGATCCTTGTACTCCATTCAGATGATTTTCTCTAGCTTCCAATCCAGTCAAAGCCTCTCCGAAACAATTCCGTATCAAGTCCAAATTTTGTTCAAATTTCCCAGATATCTCCTCCAGAACACCCATAAATGAGTGTGGTTTATAATAACCGCGATAACAAAAGCTTAGAAAATAAAGCTTTTATCTCCAAAAAAAACTAGTACCTGTGCTGGTAATCCGGCAGCAATTGAAGGAATATGGATGTAGTTCGGCGACTATGTCGAGTTTTAGTGAGCTGTGCTAGGGCTGAAATGGCGAGAGGTAGGGTTTATGGCCCATTTCCGACCGACCGGTCAACACATTTTGAAAATAGTTCGGTATTTCGGTTCGCGGCCATTCCTCAATTGTATTTCTTTACGTTTCTTTTTGCGGTATTTCGGCTTTTACCTTTACGTTTCAATTGTATTTCGGTCAATGTTTTAAAACTTGGACTGCTAATTGAATCGGTAAACTGTTCGGATCAAGGTTCAATCGATCGGACCGATTCAACTCTGATTCAATAAAATTTTAAAAAAATAATTTATATAAATATATATGTGCACAAAATAAAATATATAACGGACTAATTTAAAACTTTATATGATGGAAAGTTTACTATTTTTAAATAACTTGGATTTTCAAAAATAAATTTTTACATTATAAGTTGAAACAAATAAATTTCATCTCAATTTCAATTTCAATTATATCTACCAAAAAAATCTTAAATCCAACCCAAAAATATCACAATATTTTGAAATTATACAAAATTCACGTCTATGAGAATTTAGACATTGTGAACTTAAATTTTAATTTACATTTTTGAAATTTAGAGATTGCAACTTAAAAAAGAAAGTTTGAAATTTGAAGGAAGTCAGGAGCATCGAAAATAGAGATGTAAACTTGATAAAAAAACAAAAAAAATGAGATAAAAGTGAGTGGTTGTGGCATTAAATAATTTGGGTTAAAGAAAAATAATTCTTTTTTAACTTTTTTCAATTTAATGGACAAAAACAAAATTAAAAGATGGAACAAAACATCAATAAATTAAAACTAAAAAGCTTTGATTAAAAAGAGAGTAACAAAAGAAAAGAGGAGAGAAAGAGAAAGTGAGAGAGAGTGTTGAAAATTAGACAAAAAGAGTCATGAAATGATGAAATTTTGTAAGAAAAATAAAAAAGAAAAGAAATATGGGTGTTTGTTTTATATAAATAAGTTATCAAAAAAGCCTAATAAAATGTGATGGTGCAATGGTTACTACATTGGTCTTCTATTACAAAGGTCTTGATAGTTGCATTTTGCAAATTTTAAGAAAAAAAGAGGGGAAATTTGAAAACCAACCACCGGTTCAACGGTTTTCACGGGTTTGACCGATTTTCTGACAAAGTCAACTCTAACATAGAACGAGACTGGTGCCATGATCGGTTCGCGGTTCAACCGATCAAACCGACTGGTTCGATCCGATTTTCAAAACACTGATTTCGGTGTCGGATTGAAGTAGATTGCATAGAATTGTCAATGGGGCCGGTACTAGCACAAGTTCGCCATTTCGACTTCTCCAAAATAGGACTAGATTTTAGTCTTTTACTCATAGTTATTAAATCCAGTTCGACCCGACAATCGAACCGATCAACCAAACATTAGACCAGGCTGGGTTTTAAATTAGATCGTTTAAACAATCAAATCGTTGACTAGTCAACGAATTGGCGGTTTGACCAAATTAAACCTGAAACCTGGCCGATTTTGTCTTAAACCCGTAGAAAAATTGTATGCCTTTGCTGGAAGTTGAACCTTGGTCATCTGACCATTGCAACAACGAGGACACCACCAAGCTACGTCACGATATGGTGATAAGGTTACTTACTTATAATATATAAACATTTTATCTTTGTTTTTTATTTCTCTAAAACAAATTTATTTATAATCTTTTAATAAAAATTTATGACCCCCAAACTCTATAAGTTATAAAATGGACTTCAAAAATAACATATTATATAATTCATTTTAAAAATAAATATTATTTTTAATAAATTTTTGCACTTAAAATTTATAAATAAGTTAGATAATTACACTAAACATAGATAAAATTTTATACTTGAAGTTTGGTGAATTACTAAATAACTTTATATTTTATTGATTCTTATATGAATTAATTATTTTATAGCAAATTAAATTATATGAGCATTTGTTATGACATTATTTATTACAATTTATATCATATATCTTATATTTAAAATTATGAAATATAATATTTAAATATATGTAATGACCCATCGGTTCAACCACTCACCTACTAGTTGAACCAATAACCCGTTGACCCACCTCGGTCGCCGGGTTCCCTCCCGAGTTGTGTTTAATAACTATGCTTTTACTTGAATTAGGACTGGATTGTAAGTGGGTTCAAAGATGGAGCACAATTAACAATAGGCTATGTTTTGGGCCAAATTAGGCTTAACTAGGGATATAAATAAGTATAAACAAATCGAATATTATGAAACAATTAAAAGTGTGGATGTCCATTTGTATTCTCAAAAGAACTAATTCATAATTCATTGATCCCAATGGAATTAATTCATAATTCATTACTACATTATGTAAAGGAATTATAATGGATAAACGGTTTCAATCCATAAATCCATTCATGTATTGGAAGAACCGTTTCATATACTATTCATGTTCTTGTAGTAATGAGTGTTTAATAGAATTGATTTACCTTTAATTTTGTAATACGTATATATAGAGGTACCTTGACACCTTTTGGAATTACTTTTTGATTAGTTGGAATAATAAGAATACTATTCTCTATTTCTCTATTTCTCTATTTCTTTCTCTAATATTTCAATTCCTATTATAGTAATTTATTTTATTAGTTTTATAACACGTTGTCAGCATGAGTTTCTACTTCTGAGTAAAGGTGAAACACGAGAATCTGTCGAGATTCTGCTAGTATCAAATAAACTATTGGATATTTTTTCGAGCAGCCATTGACTACCTATTGAGGTAAACCTTTGACCCACAAACTTATTTCAATTTCATATGGCTAATATTTGAATGATCGCAAAATACAAGTGCCTACTGCTGAGCAACCATTAAACACAAACATATAATGTTTGACATCTTTGAAGTAATATTTCTGCTTTTAATTCTACTTATTTTTAGAATTATTTGTTACAGATACTTATATTCTGATGCAATGAGTTTTGAAGATACTATTATAGAAAATCAATTATGTTTAAGGATCCACTTGTCCTTTGAATATTTAAAGAAAAAAATTCGACCACCTGAAAATGATCGTTCTATAACGAAAAGATTTGGCCACCAGAAGATGGTCATTATTTCAAAATTTGGTATGATAAATTTACTTATGGCTACAAGTACACAATTCTGCTATATTTAGAATTATTTTTTAGTTGAAAATAAATATTCTCTACATATTTCTCAAATATGCTCTTATAGTATTAATATTGAGAAAAATTTGAAAAGTATTCTGTACTTATTGCATGCTAGTTCTAGTCCATTCTCAGAAGTGAATGCGATTAAATTTCAATTGATTAGTTACAGTTGCTGCCATGACTATGATTTTGATAAATATGTATTTTACTATAACAAGAGAAAAAGTTATCACTTGAAGTGGGATAATAATGATAACGACAAGAAAGTAAGGATCCTGAAGATAAATGTTCCAAAATACATTTGACAAATCAAAATTATAATAGCATCTTCACATGACCAATTTCTTTAAACGCTCTGAAGGTGTATAATGATTGATTTAATTTATGATAGTAATTGGCTTTTCTTTCTGAAGAAGAAATGGATGTTAAATATTTGGTATCAATGGATTGTGGTAATGATATTTGTCCCGTAAGAATTATGGTGACAATGACATGCGTCTCATTAATAAGTACTACTATATACACTATATTCCAATAAGAGAGACAAACACAATCAGTGGTAGTGCTTAAGTGACTAAAAGCTCCAGAAGAGCCACTACTACACTTCTTCCCGTAGAAGAAATGTAGTAGTGGCTCTTCTGGAGCTTTTAGTCACTTAAGCACTATAGAAGAAATGTTTATCATAAACAAAGCACTACTTTTTACCATGTCTCGAAAAATTTATTGAATTTGAATATCCGTCGAAATGGATATCAAATTGAGACACTAAATGAGACAATAATAAAGATCATGTTTAGAAATCAAGTGAGATAAATGTTAATTATGTCATAATAACCATTCGAGATTCGAAAGAGAAATTGTTATCAATATATTTGTCTTCATTCCCATTTGATTTATAATCATCACCTATAGTAAATCAGAAGTTTACTGATCCCAATGAATACATGATTTGGCAAAAGTGAGAACATTTGAAAGTTGACAAGTCTTTATACATACCATTTTTAAATTATATATGGCTCCAAAAGAAATTTAAAATTTATGTCAGGTATGAATCACCTTTTACGATTAAATATTGTAAAATATTGATGGGTGATTTATTTAATGACTTATTTATTCTGATGAGTTCCGATTCCTGATATTAGGGGGAGCAAAAGATCAATAGAAAAGGAAATCTTTTGAAAAATTGGATTTTCTCGATCCTCATATAAAATAATATGAACTGGAAGTTCAAAAAATTATTCATTTGTAAAAAGTTGCAAATCAATTGTCAGATATATTATTGACTCGAGAAGAGTCATTAAATCGACTATTCCTGCAGGAAATACTCTGGTTAAAATTAACATCCCTGAAGTACATGTATAAGTGCTACAAATAAATTTAAGACCGGCCTACCTAAATAAAGTATAAATTGATTTCAAATATCTCTAGAGATTAAATAAATGTCATGACAAAATTCAAACTCATGAAGAGGTCGCTCTTAAAGAGCCAACTCCTGAAGAGAATGAAATCATAGACAATTTAATTGGAGCATAATGAAATGTAACACTTGATATTATAAAAGTTGATGAGAATCATGAATCCAGATCGGTTGATAAATGTTGATATAGAAATGATTGGCTAAAATGAGAAAATGCGATCCAATCTGAATTAGATTTACTGGTTAAAAGAAAAGCTTTTGGACCTATAGTCCAAACACCTGAAATATAAATCCAGTAGGATATAAATGGGTATTTGAGAGAAAAAAATGAGAAAAATGAAATTGTGAGGTATAAAGCAAGACTTGTAGTCCAAGGAATTTCACAAAGGCCTGAATTTGATTATGATGAAACGTATTCACCTGTAATGGATGATATCACATTTAGATATCTTGTGAGTTTTGCAATACCTGAAAAATTAGATATGCATCTAATGGACGTCAACACTGCATATTTATATGGAAATCTTGAAAATGATATTTA